CATGCCAGGCTGCTGGTGTGTCCATCGGGAGGTGGAGGACAGATAATTTCTGCTGTAAGTTGGGACAATGGGAGGGTTTTTCTTTCAGCATTATCCAAAAGATCCTCAAGTCTGCTCCAAATCCATGGATAAACAACCCAGAGGTGGGTGGGAATCCAGTAGGAATTCCACCCAAAGTCTTGGTTTGATCCCATAATCCACCCAAAATAAACCCTTCCTAAGGAAGAAGTAGTCTCATCTGGAATAATTTACCCCCTCAAAATCTCCAACTTCCTGGTGTTGGCTACAAAATGGATAATTTATGAAATTATCCAAAAAATGAAACCAAAAGTAGTGGAATTGGATTAAAGGGATCCAGCCTGGAGGTCAGTTGAGGACTCAATGTGGAGTGATCCCACTCTTTGAGGGAGTGTTACCCTTGTCTCCATGGAAATGTGGGAAATTGGCTGGTTTAGCAGCAAGAATTCCTGTTATAACGGGCTGCAATATTACTTATGGATAATCATAAGTAATTGGATCATCATTTGATGATGCCCTTAATCATGTCCACAGGGAGGAAAATTGAGGGTTTGGCATGAAACTGGGCTAAAACCTCTGTAGTTGGTGAAGTTTGCACCTGAATTCCAGGAAACTTCCAGGATTTGGCTTGGAATTCCCTGGTTTCTCATTAATCCCATTGTCTCCTGGCAGATATTCCCTGTCCTTCCAACAGCTCCTATGAGCTCTGCTCCCACACCTGCCAGCGCACCTGTGGCACTGACTCTGCCACATGCCCAGGGCGATGCCGCGAGGGCTGCACGTGTCAGGATGGCTTTGTGCTCAGCAGCGATGAGTGTGTCCCCATGTCCCACTGTGGCTGCAGTCACCATGGAGTCTACTACAAAGAGGGGGAGACATTCTACCCCACAGAGCAGGAGATGTGCCAGTGCCTCTCTGGTGGCAGTGTGGAGTGCCAAAATACTTCCTGTCCTGATGGTGGCCCTGGGAAAGTCATCGATGGTGTCTTCCAGTGTCCCTCAGAGGTGTCCAGCACCTGCGTGGCCACAGGTGACCGCACCTATGTCACCTTTGATGGAATGGCCTTCAACATGACGGGTACTTGCTCCTATGTCCTCACTCAGACCTGCACAGGTGGCAACATGCCATCATTTATTGTCACAATCCAGAAGGAGGCACGGCAGAAGGGAAAGGTCTCCAGGATCCAAGCGTTGTCTGTGGAAGTCTATGGGGTCACCTTGACCTTGAAACAAGGAAAAGGGGCAGATGTCTTGGTAAGGTGGCACTTGATGTTCCAGATCTC